TCCCATAGATTCTGATATGTTGTATTGTCATTGTCATTTAATTGAAGGAACTGTCTGATTTCTTCTTTAATTTCCTCTATGACCCATTGGTTATTAAGAAGTGTGTTCTTCAACTTCCATGTGTTTATGAAATTTTTTGAGTTTCTTTTGCTACTGATGATTCATTTTTTAATTATGTGTGAATAATGAATTTTCTAAAAATGTATAGAGTTCCACAAAGTGTATCTAAAACTGATTTCATTTGCTTTTATTTACAATTGTTCTTCCAAAAACTGAAAATTAATGAAAAATTGACTTCTTCATTCTCCAAGTATCTTCCAGACAGTGCGACATTCTGCCTGTTGCTTAACCCTAGGCCCCTATGGCAAACCCCAGTGTGAGTGAGCGACCCCTGGAGGACCAGAGCCTGCACAGCTCCCCACCGGTCTGACTGATAAGTCTGCCATTCTATCTGTCTCTGTGTGCAGCTAGTGTATTGCCATATCCAGTGTCTGTGCCAGGTCTTTGCTGAACAAAACACAGAAATATAAAAGAAGGAAGGAAATAAATGAAACAGATAACACATATATTCAGCTGTTCATTTATAAGGTTAAAACCTAACTTTATAAAAGAAACTAAGGAGAAACTCAGAACTCCACAATGAGCTGATAATAACCTGGGTGGATTAAAGCGGCTGTATTTTTAGAAGCATATTCCTTAGAGACACACTTCTTGTTTGTCCTCCCTTTGAAATTTTGCTGGCATTTAACTGCTTCGGCCAACATAAAACTGTTTGAAAAAGCTCCCCCATGCTCCGTACAGCCTTTCACAGCTCCAACTCAGGGAGCCACTAAATTCTGCTTCATAATCAAACTAAATTGTGGGTAAACAATGTGACACTTGGAGACCAGGAGTGACTGTCTTCATGGTCTACCTATATGGCCTTAATCCATTCATAAGCTTTAGGGCAATTATTGTCAAATAAATACATTATGATGTGGACTCATCCACCTTATTTTAAACATAATTTTATTTCATTTTTAATAACTTTATTAATATATACTTGCAATACATACTTTGGGAATATGACCAACAGTGTTGAACATAAGGCAACCCCTGGCTGAAGATTCTGCAATTGTAATGGATAATTGAGGAAGCCAGGCATCTTATGTTGGTTTTCAAATGTACAGATATTCCCTGGTTTTCCCAAGAAGCTCATTCAAAGCACTGACTCTCACAAAACTAGAGATTATAACAAAGGAAATTATCAAGGAGATACACAGATGAATGTATCATATTCTCAGGAAATTATTATTCATGCCTTGTAGATTATTTACCTTCTCATTCACAGCTATTTTATATGTTTTTTAGATGGTAGTGTGTGTGTTGGTATATGTAAGTTTTGTGTACTTTATGCACATATCATACCCTCAGGGAATTTTTTGTATATCACCATCCAATAAGCACTGAAAAATGCTGGGTTACCTTTTATTCTTCTTTACTTTCCTGTTCTGTGTGCCTCAGACATGATGTGAGTGCTTTGGACAATGAGGGCAGAAGGTGCAGTCTTGGGATAAAAAAATGCTTACTTTCTTACATTGGAGAGAATGACAAAAAATGGATATACAATGACTGAAGGGAAATAAATAGAGAAGCATTTAACTAGGAGATGTTAAGGAAGAAGGAAGGAAAAGAGATAGAGACAATGACCAGGGTCTTTTAAATTTCTTTCTATATGCTAAAATGGTGGCACTACTCTTATTTCTAAACATAATGGACCTATCTAGCTATGTACCTCAGGATTTCTCTGATTGCCAAGACACTTGCATAAAACCCTTCCTCTCCCCTGTATGTCTCTACTTAGGTGTCATACTTAATATCTCTAAGAACACCTTTCTCCTGCACACTAAACTGGGATTTATTTTAGTTACATTTTATTTCTTCTATGAGAATATAAGAGTCACTAGTAAATAAATTGGATTTGCCATGAAACATACACTGCCAAAAGGCAATTAGTAAACACATAATAAACCTCAGTATATTTGAAGTTGAATGAGAATGTAAGCAATTCGTACTGTGGCAAATCTGAGAAAATCAGAAAAACTTACCACAGGGAATATCTTCAATCAATTCACTATAATAATGGAACATGGCACAGGTGGAGATCTATAACATTTCCTTACAATTAAAAATATTTTAAGGGCCAGAGACTTAGCTTGGTGGTTCCACTGCATGCCTTGCAAGTGCAAGGACCCGAGTTTGATCCCTGGTAA